AAGACTGAACATCTGGGGAATGTCTTGAAAGGGTATCCCGAGGCACGACATATCTTTTGAGAGGCGTTGTGGAAACATACCGAAGAGTCACAAGAGAATTCGCCAGTCTGCCTAGCTTAAGTTACTTACACTACAGCAAACAAACACACCATCCTGCTCACGCATCCGGTGTGGTAATTACATCTTTCTATAGAGCTTCCGTCCCCCACGGACCCCTCCCGCGCCCGCTCCCGCCGTCGGCGCTCACCGATCAGGCCAGGGCAGCCGGCTTACATGTGTGTGCTGCCGTCAAAGTATACTCCAGGGCAGAGCTGTCAGTCGGGCATGATCTGACTTCTTGCCGCCCACCTGCTCGTTCTACTAGCCGCAAGTTTTCAAGCAACAGCTCGAACCGCGTCATGAAATGATGGAGTTGGAAACTACGCCGCACTCCAACTTGCGTATGCCAAAAGCAAGACAGCGGCACAGCCGGGAAGCTCCTGTGAATTGACGTGAATCAAAGAATTTGTCTCTATCACCTGCCTGTCTGTCGAGGCGACGCTATGTGTGTACTGCCTTCACACCCAAAACCCGAGATAACTAGTTTTTTTTCTCTCTCTCGTGGTTTATAACCATCTCCGCTACCGGAGCAGGCTCGTTCACGCCGGAGAGGGTGTACGGCAACGTCTTCTGAGGATTCGTCCATCCCAACAATCTCCGAGGGGGTCATTCCCGACTCGCGTGCTTGTGTAACCATGAGAATCTTCTTTTCTTCGTGCTGCAACCCTCCTTCGTCGACAACAAGCTTTTCATAGAAGGTGCACGGCCATGCACGCTGGCCTAGATTTGTTCGTGTCTACGGGAACCGAAAAGTTTGCTCACGCTTCCGCCGGGAGGCGAAGAAAAGGTTAAGAGAGGAAGAGGAAGGACTGAACCTCGTTCATTAACGTGCCCGACTGGCAAGCAGGTTCGGATGTTCGTGTACCTTAGGTAGACAGACCGAAAAGAATAAAATATCATCAGGGTCCGATGGCGTTTCTTTTCTTTGGTTGGAGAGCCTGGACGTTGGCGCGGCTTGAGCAGTATGTCATCGTGAAAGGAGGCCCGTGTCTCTTCTACCTTATGAGCTGCCATCGATAACTGAACCCGTAGCTTCAGCTCTACCGACAAGTCCTATCAAGTGTGTGTAAATGCTATGTAATGACTTTACTCGTAGAGGGCGACATTGATCCGTTTTGTCAACAGACCTTGAAGTCCTTGATTCCCACACCGGATACATTCACAGATATATTCACAGACTGTCGAGTTCCTTGAGTCTGCCGTTCTTATGCTGGTGGTAGCTGTACCCAAGCCGCCTGCCACACGTCACACAATGTTTGCAATACTGGCATGGCTCAGATCTTATAGGCGCCGGGAGAAGGCTAAGAGATGCATAATAATGACACTTCGAATTGCAAGGATGCGACCTTGTGTTGTGTAATGCACTGCTGTACCACCTGACAACGAACTCAACAAACATATAAACAAAGCTATTGTCATCTGGTACAAGCCTGGGGCGCAACGAGTCTCGTGATTTGCATGTATTCTCATTAGAAGAAAAAAAAAAGAACTCCGGCTATTTTCCGTGGTTTGGAGACAAAAGCAACTCAAACACATGAATAGACCTTGCCCAACCCCGTTCGCCGCATATGCCTGCTTGACTAAGGTAAATTCGGACCAAGAAAGTGAACTTCATCCTTTTTGAAGCTGGACAATTATCTAGGGGGATGATGCCACTGCGTCTTGGTCGACAGGCTGCTCTGGTTGTGCCCCCTTTCAGGGCGTTCCCACGCGCCGACCCAGTTTCCGTAAGGCTTCCGTTCTTGCGAATGCGCCCATGTGGTTTGTAATTTTGGAAACGTAAACGAGGATGAGAGTGGACGCAGACCTGAGCACGCTGGGTCAACCGCCTCCCCCTGTTCATGTCCTCGAGTACCGAGCCTTGCTGTCACCATCGTTTAGATTGCGACCCAGATGAGCATGATCACGACATCCATGCCCTTGCCCTCGCCGCCATCGTACTTGTAGGACCACATGCCGTCCTTCTTCTCGTCCCAGTAGGCGCCGGTGGCGGAGTGCATACCGCGGCGGCCGACGTGGGGCTTGCCGTCAGTGGCGGTCGCATCGGCGCTCGTGGAGACGGAGGGCTCCTCCTCCTTAACGGAGGTGCCCTTGGACTTGTTGAGGGAGGATGTCGGGACGAGGTGCTGGACGATTGTCGAGTTGCAGGCAAACTTGTATGCGGGTGCGGAGCCGCCTTGGGGTGTCGACTCAGAGATGACGGCCTTCAAAACGGAGGACTGACGAGGTTCATGAGGGTTAGTTCATGGAATCTCTGGATAACAGCAGCGGCATCAGACGCAGGGAGGAAAACGTACAATGATCTGAGAGTTCCATGTCTCGGTCTTAGCGTGATCGTAGAACTCAGCAGAGCCGATGGCTGATTGGCAAGCCTGTCAACGAGACTGGGTTAGTGGGTTGTCTCCTAATGTTTTGGCTACATTGACGATGTTGTCGCATGGGCAGCTTACATCCGTAGCAATCTGCTTAAGACGGTTGAAGGCGACGGGCTGTCAAGATCGAGTCAGTAGGCGGTCCATTGAGATCTTAGCGTGGGGGAAAGTTCAACATACGGGAGTCGCTGTCGTAGGGGCGGCGGGCGCAGACATTGTGATCGGATGTTTTGTTTGGGAAAGGGGAAGAAAGATTGTAGGTTGTTCGAAGGCTCTGTGCGCTTGCTGGTTTCGTTATGTATGAGGTTCTTGGGAGTAGGAGGTGTGAGAGTGTTCTTGAGCACTTGTGCCAATATTTTGAGTGTATGTAAGTTGTGAAGAGGTTGTGTTGACAGATCGGGACAAGACGACAGAGATGAGGCTCCTCCACAAAAAGTTACCGGTGTTGTGATGCCAGCCCGATTCGGCCGCCTCGCGTTGCATCCACGGGCCGTGCTCCCCAGGTGCGCGGGGCAACGAGAGGTCACGTGTCTCTGTCATCGAGAGGTCTCTCCCTAGCCACAACTACATGGCACCAGCTGAGGCTTGACCTCTTCAAGTGTGGCTTCCCCAATCAAAATGCGATTGGATTGCACGTGTACCTTGCTGCAGAAGTTTGCAGGCGATTGACATGGATCTGTACTGTGGCTGGTGGGGAGGTAAGCTCTAGCCGTGCACGCCGTGCAGGCTTAGCGTCACAAGTCTGCTCTGCGATGGAGCTTTTTTCCTTGAGGAAGCGGCTTTTGAGGGGCTAGTCGGCCGCAGTGCAGGTGCATCGTCTGTCGTATCTGAACAAGCTTTCAAGCGGGTTCTCTCGGTTACAGATTCTCTCGTTCTCTCTTCTCCTCCTCTCTTTCCTCCCTTCTCTCCCTCACCTCCATCTCCGCAGTCTTTTTGTTCATATCCCTGATAGAGTTTTTTCCGATTGTTCAGACGAAAAATAGCGAGACTGTAGAAGAGAAAGCAGTTGACATCGCGCGACTCGCATCCACTGCCCCCTTGTCACGATAAACACCGTTGCGGTTCCGACGACTAGCCCGACGCGAGCCCGAGCTGTCCAACGACGCCTCAATCGCAATTCTCTGACGTCGCATTGCCATTCTCCAGGATTCTGGTCATCTTTGCCGAGACAGTAAACAGTAGATTAAGGGTAGGAATTGGGCACACCGAGCGAGAAGACGAAAGACCGCCGACTGAACCAGTCCAGGTTGCGATAGAGAAAGCCACGACCGCATACTCGGGACAGTCCAGTCAGAAATAGCAAATCACAATGTCTAGCCAACCTCTTCTCCAGACCGCACCGGGTACGTACAACCACGACGCCGTACACATCAGTGCCCGAATAAGGACATAAACAAGAGAAAGTGAGAGGTCACTAACAAGGTCGCATTACCAGGCAAGCGCATCGCCCTCCCTACGAGAGTCGAGCCCAAGGTCTTCTTCGCCAACGAGCGCACCTTTCTCTCATGGCTCAACTTCACCGTCATTCTCGGCGCCCTCGCCATCGGCATGCTCAACTTTGGCGACCGCCCGGCCTTTATCAGCGCCTTCCTCTTCACTGGCGTTGCCATGCTCACCATGATCTACGCCCTAGCCACGTACCACTGGCGTGCGAAATCCATCCGCGTCCGCGGCCAGGCCGGCTTTGACGACCGCTTTGGCCCCACCTTTTTGGCCATCATCCTACTGCTGGCCGTCGTTGTCAACTTTGTCCTGCGCATAACGTACTCGTCCAAGGAGGAAAAGCACTAAAAAGTACGAGTAAACATGCTTTCTAGTCCCAGCCTCTGTTCGTAATTCCGAAGACAAACTTGGAAAGAGGAGGGGCGGGAAACAAAATCTATGCCTAGGCGTTGGCAGTTTGGGCCTTGCGAACCAGGAGAGGCGGGCTTTTGCTAAAATGCTCAAGCTACGACAAAGGCGTATGTACGAGGAAGGATTGAGAGTTGGGAGCGAAGGATTTGTTGTTTTAAGAACAAGTTTGCGTGGTTTTGTAATTTGGCAGTTTTCCTATGTTTAGCTTAGGCGTACGCGAACAGAAAGCGGATGTGGAAGGTGTATAGTTGATAGGAAAAGCGAATGCATCGGATTAGGCATGTCATCATCAGATGGATACGGCTCACGCATAAATGTTTGAGTATGAGGGAAGTTGCCTTATTGGTTCCGAGTCTCTTCTTCCCCTTGCTGTCTATTCATCTCACGTTTCCAGCGGGTTCGAAAGCTTTTTGATATCGACTTTATCCCGCCCGTTTTGGGTATCAAATGGTAGCCCCTCCTATCCTATAACGCCTCTCGATGCAATGCCAATGCTGGATGCCGTTACAAGCGACATGTCGCGACTCCATTCCTCGGAGATCTCTTTGTCTTTTGTTTCTCCTCCCGTCTCCATTCTCCGGGATCGCAGCTCACGGACTCGAATCCAACCTCTACCCTCAAACGACCTTGTTCCAAGTTCCCAAGCCAGAGCGCAGTCGAGTTCGCAGTGGCATCTCACTGCGCCGTGTTCGTCTGCGTCGTAACATCCCCTCGGGCCTTGAGTTCCGGCACGGGCGCCAACGAAAGGAATATGCTCAGCGACTTGGCCGCACGCTTCACCGGCTGCGGCAACACAGCTCTCTCGAACCGGGTCTTCATAACCTCGAAATCGTCTTCGTCTCTGTCTTCATCATCCGAGCCATCCTGCGTTCCGCCGCCGCCGCCTAGCACCGTATCTTCCACAACATCAGGTTTCGGCGGCAGCTCGTACATGAGGTTGTACTGATACCACTTGCCGCCGCTCTCTTCCCCCTCCTTTCCGTCCACGCTCTTCTTCTCCGCCGCAACGATGCGCTTCACAGTCTCCACAATCGAAATCATCTTGGCGACCTCGCCCGGCCGCGCGTAGACGAGCACGACGCGCCTCCTCGGATCGCCGTCGTCTTTGCGCAGGTGCTGCAGCAGCCAGGTCACGCGCTTCTGGATCTTGGTGGAGGAGATGGTGAAGGCGGGAAGGACGTCGTATTTGGATCTGAGGTCCGCGAGGAGGGCTTCGTGCGAGGGGGATAGAGGGGTCGTCGGGCCATTGACGTTTGCGCTCGAGCTCGCGCTTGCGCTTGTGTTTGTCGTCGTTGTCTTCGTCGTTGTCTCCGTTGCTTTGCTCTTCTTTGAGACGACTGCGGCGGACGAGCCGGCTGCTGCCGTTGATGATTTTCGCTTCTTGTCGTCGCCCTTGGGCTGTGTTGCGGAGGGTTCAGCCATGGTCAGCCTTAATGAGACCTCGAACCATAGCAGACGCGGCTGCTCAATGACTCAAGGGTGTGATGCGCCGCGCGGGGTCTGAGTCTGGGGTTGAGATTGAAGCTCCAAGACAGACGTTAGGATTTCTACCGGCAAAAAAGTGTGGTCTGGATCTCTACCTTATCGATAGAGATCTTATCGAATTCCATGCATCAGACGCTTGGACCAGCTTTCGGAGCCGAGAGGGCAGAGAGCCGCGACGTCCAGTCTTTGACCAAGAGCTTCTGATTGGATGGCGTCTTTGATGTTCATAGCATTCGTCAAACGCTTGCTCTAAGGCAATGTAACGCATGATGATTACCATGTTGTATCGTTATTGAAACCACTATGTGATGTGCCAGACTAATCATAAGCTTTCGAAAGTACCACGACGATATCCTGAGCCTCGGGAGCAAGGCAAAGTGCTTTCAAGATAGGATGCCGTAATGAAGTGACTAAGCGTTCAACATCGAAGAATGTTTAAAGCAGCGATGATCAGACACGAGCTCTCGCTCAATGCCGGACCTGGCCTAGCGTTCCGCGGAAGATGGAAGGGTCCACTGGACAGGGCGCCCATGCGCCGATGGTCCTTCTGTGGCTTCTCGACTTCACATGTTTGGCGTGGCCTGTGCAGCTGATCCGCCTCTTCTCCAAGGACGCCATTCTTTTGATTCGATGAATGAAAGTGCGCCGTGTTGCGCCCTGTTCTGGTTGCAGCATCTCGTAGGCTTGAACAAAGCGAATATCAAAATGGTCACAATATGTCCACCAGAGCTATCTTCAGTCAGATGCTGGTGGACTGCCAAAAGCTTGCTTGGCATCTCGGATGGAAGGTCGAGCCAGAAAGGTCCGTAGGTTTACTGAATCATGAGCTTTGCGACATTTCGTCATCTAGCAGCTCCCAAAGTGGTCTGCGATAGTTCTCCCCAAGATTTTCCAAGCTTCCGAGGTGCAGCGTGGCACCGTTCAGGCCGAGCTGCACGACCTGCAGCGGTATTAATCCATTTTCGCCAGGGAGCGCTCTTGGGAATCCCGGGATAAGGCCTGGAGAAACGTCGTAGATGCCGTGAAAGGGTAGGGAGGCCCGGGGTTAAAGAGGAACTTATGCGATTCTGACCTTGGTCGCTGAGTCGGGGCGACTCGGCATCGTTACCGTTGGGTATCGTCGCAAGACAACGCTGCTTCATTGGCTTATTCCAGCTCCTCAGTCGCAATATTGCTGGTGAAATTCTGGAGATCCCGGCCTGGCTGGTACCTCGCTAGCGGTGCTCAGGTATCTGAAACCAGAACGGGCTAAAGGCGAGCTGGGCAGCGCCGGGTGGCGTGGCGTATTTCCAGCGGCGATCCCATGTCTATCTGCATGTCGCACCCACCCATCCCCCTCCATCGTTGTGTGAAGCTGGCCGTCGTCAAGGCCACAGAGTAGGGCTCTAGAAGACGCATGGATGCGAGGCTTGAGAGGGCGACAAGCAATCAAGGTGCTTCGATGGTGCATGAAGCTTTCGATGATGAGGCGACAGAAAAAAGACAGCAAGGTAAGCGGAACACAAGAAGATGCGATACACGGTCGCCGCAAGGCGTTACCTTGTTTCTCAGGGTCCATTTCCTCATGTCATCCCACGTTGTGTTGCTGCGGTCTCGCCCGCGGCCTCCCATAGCTTGGGGTCGCTTGCTACCGGTAGAAGTCTAGTCCGCATCCACGATGCCATTCGGAAAGGGGCGTAATGGAGTCGTCGTCGTCGCCGTGGACGCTAGGCGCAGCTTCTTGGTAGGCCGGCCGGAATGGCGAAGCTACGATCCAGACGAATAAGATCCGAGACTGCCGCTAGGTACGTGGAGAAGAGAGCGCGGCGGCGTGCTCGACAACGACGACAGTGAACTAATGAGATGCGTCGTTGAATATTTGCATTCGTCAAGCAGTGAGGGGCGGATGTTGACTCATTTGAACAGACACAGGCGATGCTATGCCTTAAATTCCTCGTCCCATCCGTCAATAAACATTTCATTGAGTTGACAGCCAGTATGCACAATCTGGCAGCTTCCGAGATCATGTCCAACCCCGCGCCGTGTTTGAGGAACTTATCGGCCAGAGAAAGGTATGTTGGTATGGGGAGAGGCATCCAACATACGGCGGCTGGCGCAATGGGAGGAGAGAAAAATAAGAGGCCCGACCGACCCCGAAGGTTTGTGGAGTGGGAACATTCCCACGCCTCCAGGTACTTTTAGCTCGTGCAGCGGCCGTCTCACGCCCCAAGGTACATGGCTGAGGCGTTTCTCGCACGGAACCAAAACAAGTCGGGACACACGCCATGAGCTTTCCCCGTCTTCTTCTCCACACTAAGGAACCTTGGTCCATGTACCTATCCGTAGTGCCGTGCCTGGGTGCTACTTAATCAATCTGCAGGCGGGCTGGATAAGACACATGTCGAAACCTTTACAAACAAAACACGATAATCAGTTGGATCGGCAACTTGCAAGAGAGACGTGCAATTTGGATCCTGGGCGTGATAGATAGCAACTAGGCCAGTGGTGATAGACAGCCCCGAGACTGCGCTGCACATACGAAGTTGCATCGGCGTTGCCTTCACCCTCTTTATCTTCCCCCTATATGCTCTACTCCGTACAGCCTGTCAGATTCTTGATTATCGCGAAAAAGGGGGATCCCTTTAATGAACCTCCACAATAGCTGTGCCCTTACCTAGATTACCCGGTACAGTTGAGTTGCAGTGTTGTTGGACGCGCCCACCATGATCAATCCCGTTCTATTTTCGGGGCGGCGAAACACGTATTGCAGCGACGCCAGAAAGAACCCGGCTACTGCCTACGAGTTGTAAGAGACAGAAGCTCGGAAGGGCCCCCCGTCCGTCTCATCGTCCCATCAGATTCCTATCCGCCATACAGAATACGGGAGTTGGCACCCAGTTTGCCAGGCTGAATTTTTCTGGATTCTGGAAAGAAGGTGGAAGACGAGGCCAAACACAGACACAGACGAAGACGGGACTTATGAGGAACTGACGTCCCATCTCTCAACTCTCAGGGACTCGGGGACAGCATTATCCTCTGAGCGCATCGTTCTCTAACCAGTCTGTCCTCGTTCTCTTTGACAGCTTTGGAGTTCAGTGCGCATGCCGCTGCCGCTGTCGCTGCCGCTGCTCCTGCCGCTGTCTTGTTGGTCGCCCGTTTTTATTGTCGTCTGCGTCAGGACTTGCATCTGGCACACACACTCTCTCTCAGGAGTCAGGCTGACAGAGAGACGTGAGGGAATACCACTTTGTTGGAGAGTAGAATGTGTAGGACTGACTCTTACTGCATCCCTTTCTGACGGCCGAACCGTCCGGGTGTCATTTAGGTTGTGTCGAAGATTGGGTCTTGCTCTCCTGAGTCCTACCACAAAACAAGAGTAAGTAGGCAAGTACACAGCACGAGGTGCTCCGTATAGAAAGTACCAAGTCTGGGTAAGGAAGGAACCTGGGAAAAGGGCACCTCCGTTCCTTCCCTGCTCAGTGTCCCCGTCGTATTGCACATTATCCCTGCAGCTGCACACCTCCTTCCTTGAGTTTCCCTTCGTCTTCCATTCCTTTTTCTTTTTTTTGGTCCGGTTGTCTGTATGTACCTCCCGTCTCCAGTTGCCCCCACACCTGGGTCAGACCAGCCAGTCACCAAACTCACCAAACAAGCGCATTCCCTCGTTCCCTCCTTCTTTCTTGCAAACAACCCAATCAGCATCGCGTTTCAGAGCACAATCCTCATCCACACCACCCACACACCTCGTACCTCTCACACCCATCTCTCTTTCTTTTCACACACACCCCTTTTTATGCCTCCCCTTGCATTCAATACACAAATTGCCTTTTCCTAGTCAGTCGGGTCCCTCGCATCATCGCCAAGTTCCAACACCAACAAAGCACAAGCGCAAAGCGCCAAAACATCCACCTCAGCTTTCTGTGCATCCACCTCGCCCCGTCCACCTTTCTCTTGTTGCTATTGTCTGCTGAGGAGATACTGGCATACTGCTACATGCTTGCTTGCGCCGCCGCCTACGGAGACCTTTACCGCACCGCCGCTGCGCCATCGACAATCAGCGAACGAGAAACAGAACCACCCGCAGAGGAACACTTCCAATTCGCTCAACTCACGGCCCATCTCCTTTTCACACTATTTACCGGCACCATTTCGCTGGCTGGCTGCTTTTGCTACCTTACTTACCGTACGGATACCTTACTCTCTGTGTGTCTCTCAGGATCCAAGGCCCACCCGCACTCGCAATCACCACCCCAGAGGCCAATTTCCCACCAAGCTCACGCACGTCGCCCGCCTGAGAGGTCTGAAGCTGCCTCCTTCCCCGACCTCTGACAGTTATTCTCGCTCTTTCCGCTGTCATCCCCATCTACAACATTTCAACCTCCTCACAAACAACCACTTCTCCCCCCAAAACCGCTCCAAAACCACTCGTCCACACGACATAGAGAACCATCGTAGGCGTCGCTTCTTTTATTTTGCTCGCCCAACTCTCTTCGCGCATTCATTTTCGCACCATTCTCTCGCGCGATATCGAGGCTTTCGTTAGTTCTCGATTCTTCTGCGTCGCTGTCTTCGCTGCGCGACCGTCGCAATCCCATCCCTTTGTCGCCGACTCGTCTGCTTCGGTCTCCGGCTCTCTCTCTTGCCTCTGGCCTTCCTGACCGGACGCCCGACCACATCATCACGCACCACTCGCCCCCCCCCCCCCTGCCACCCCTTTTCGGGCCCCATCATCCAAGGCCAACCAACGCACCACACACCCGTCGCCTCGTCTTCACCCACGCCCAGAGCAGCCACACGCTTACACCCGACTCGTCCGTCTGGGGAATCCACTGTTTACGTCAGCCCTCGTCGCCAGCTCGCAAGCTCATTGCACGCACCTCAGCTTTTTGGCTCCTCTGCCTGCATCAGCACCACGTCGCACGCTGCAGGTGCCTGGTCCGTCCGCCACTGCCACATTGCACCTTCGTCAGGCTGTTGCCTCGCGCCTCATCTCACGTTCGCATAAAGTCGTCAGGCCGCCCTCAACGCGACCTTTCATCCCATCACCTTCGTTGCTCTCAGAGAACCGCGCTTATGTTCCGATCACTCTGGAGCAGCGAGCGGGGAAGCGAAACGACGATCAGTCACATTCAACCCATGCCATCATTCGCGCAAAAGCATCAGTTCATTCTGCCGCAACCTGCGCAAACGGCATCACTGGCGGGCCCGTCGTGCCCTCAAAAGAGGCGTCTGTCAAGCGTTGACGACTCACCTTCACCAGATGCACTCATCGCCACTGAGCAGCCCTTGAAGCGGGCCAAGCTGGAGAGCACCAACCTCGCCGTCTCTGACATCCCTTCCAGTGTCGTCTCTGACGTACCAGCATCCGCGTCTTTGCCTGTGCCTGTGCCTGCCGCTGTTCCAGCAGTGACTAACGACATGGAGGACGCGCGCGACGCTATCCAGTACCAATTTGGTCTTGAGATCTTGCTCAAGCACAATGAGCTGAGGCTAATCAACCAAGAACTGGCAAAATGTCAGGTTGCTCTCGAGCAACTCCGTCGCTGCCATCTCATTCCGTATCCTACTGCCTGTCCCACTCCTGCGCAGATGTTGGATATCAGCAACGGAAAGGGTCCAGCTCTGCAAAATCGTCCGGGAGAGCCTGTCCCCCAATGGGCTGCGCCTTTTGGAGTTGTCGATGGACCTTACGCTCGACACTACGCCAAGTGGCTCATCCCCGATCCCAAGTTTGATGGCATGCAACCTGAGTGGTACCCAGTGCTTGAGACTGCCCGTAGCAGAAGCTCAGTTGAGGGACGAACGACAAGGAACAGCATGTCTGATCTCGCCAGCGCAAACAAGAACCGCTCGACTCGGGGTATTGGCAGCCAGAAGCTGCAGTCTCTCTCCAGCGGCTACCCTCAGCCAAAGGAGAAGGCCGGACCTTGTGTTCTCAAGCGCTCCGACGGCCAGACTGTGAAGCTCGTCTGCTTGGATTGCAATCGGGAGAACTTCAGCAGCACTCAGGGCTTCATCAACCACTGCCGCATCGCCCATAGGCGAGACTTCAAGAGCCACGAAGAGGCGGCTGTTCATTGCGGTCACCCCATCGAGGTTAACGAAGGCGGCAGTCTTGTTGGAGAGGAAAAGGCTCCGCCTCCCCCACCAACCGCCATCGCGTCTGGTCTCGTCCATCCTTTTGCCCAGACCGACATGTCCACCCAACAGGCGTACGTTGCTTTGCGTTCTAGGATCGCAGATTCCCTCAAGTTGTACCGTGATGGCAAGCTGCCTGGCGTTACAAGCATCCCTCAAAGTACTTCAAAGGCAGAGCCTGCGAGGTCCGCTGCGCCAAAGGCTGGAAACTTCGTCGCCTCGGCTGACACCCCCTTCCTTTCGCGACTCATGCAGAGCAGAAACTTCACCGGCAACCTCAGTGACATTGTCAGTGACGCCAAGGAGAAGATGTCGCTTGAAGACCTCACATCGCCAGGTGAGGAATCGGAAGATACCGAGACTGGTCTCGGCAGCCCGAAGAGCAATGCGGGATCAGCTGCTCGTATGCCTGCCATGCGCATGCCTGCGAGAGCACCAATGTCACCCGTCACTCTGACTTCGTCGACAAGACCAACAAGCAGCAAGGGAAGGTCGCCTTCTACAGGCTTTGCTTCGCCTCCCATGAGCAGTCCCGAGAAGGACGACGGACCCACCAGGGTAGTAATACACTCTGGTGAGGATGTTGACATGGAGGACGTTGACCTCAGCCCCAGCACAATGGTCAGCAACAACGCACCTTCGCTTGTCAGCGATGATGGCGAATATGATGACTCCGATGACGGGTCGTCCGAATCAGGTGTCAGTGACCGCATGGATGCCGAGTCGGTGTCTGACGTTGCTGAGATCACACTTGATGAGGATCACGATGGACGCCCTCTTGGTCATCATAGGGAGTCTAGCGGAGTCGGTTCCGGTACTGCGATGCGTCTCAAGAAGGATGAGAACAAGCATGTCACTTTCGTTAGCCCTGTCCACGACAGCGCGAAGCGAGCCCGAAAAGTTTAGGGCGTTTTCGGCACTCTCTCGAGTCTGATAAATGCTCTCCTGTTTTTTTGCAACAAGATCTCTTCCCGAGGCAACACCTAACTTGCCGCCAACCCCCCTTTTCACTGCTTTCTTCGGCGACCAAGACCTTTTTTGCGCATACATACTCCTTTTTAGTCGACGAAAGTTCTTTCCCCTCTTAGTATTATCCTCTTTATTCACACGACTCTGCGCAACCAGGGGTCAAATAGGACAGGCAAAAAAAAGCAGGCTGCGGTGGCGTGTGTGGCCGGAGATGATAACGTCACTTGTTAGAGATATGAACCGGGCGTCACGGTTGTTGGGAAGCGTCTGCCTTTTGCGTACTGTTTATTTCTTGCTTCATTTGCTTGTAGACTTTATACTGTTACAACTTCACTGCCTTGGACCAAAGTCCTCCTGGAGGTAGGGGACCGAGGCCCGCAACGACACTTGAGAAAGAGGGAGATGGTCTCCCAAAGGAGGGACACAAACGCTTATGAGCCAGCTGTAGGATTCGAGGACACTCGTGTTGTATCATAGCGGTTGGAGAAGAAGGCTTGATGAAAACAATGACGATAACGAGCTCACATTGAGCAACCAATCTTGAACCATCCCACGCAAGTTTCACGTGACATTTGATGATGTTGATAGTCTTCTTCAAAAGACTGCATTCTTGGCGCCGAGATTCACACTTGGCAGGCATTCATTGAAGGAGGGGGTCTAGTCAGGTTACTTGGGAAAGATCATCGGCGAAATGGGTACGCTCCACCGACTTCAAACTTGTCGAAGCTCGCGCACATTGCGCCGAGAAAGGGAGATCATATGTGGCAGACAAGATGGTCCGGAGAACTGCCGTAGGGTTCGGGTGGTCTACTGTGACGTCTCTACGGATAGCTACGTAGTAGGTTCGAGATTGAACGCTGCGAAACAATCTACAGAGCCTTTTTTGCCTTACCCGCAATGTTGTTTATCAAAACCAAGTCTTGTTCCGTTTTCTGTGTATCTGCGACACCGTCCTCGACTGCTGGCGGAGAGGTGTACCCTGCGTGTATTCCGTCGGGATCACACTGGTCTGGGCAGTCAGCATTACCTAGGAAAGTCGGGCGGACTGACGAGTCTGAGACACTCGAGGCATTTGAGCAGGTACGTTCCTTGCTTTGGGAGTAATAACAACAGGAAAATAGAATAACAACTGAAAAGCATGCGTTGCGGATACGTGCATGCGCGCGAGATGCTGGGGAATGCATGTAGGGTAGAGTGGTGTCGTTGGCCCGCGCCGCTAAGGACAAGGTAGGTTCAGAAATGTTTCAAACAAACATCAAAATTTGGAGGGGGCGTGGGATTGGTTTGCATTGTCGCCGAGTCAACTACCCGGTTTCTGCGATATTTTGTTTCGTTTCTGGCTCTCTCGTTGTTGTATTGTACGATGCAACAACGCATGTGTGTCGACCTGGAGAGCTGGGGGTCTCTTGAAGACATTTAAGAAATGGTTTCCGTGGATTTCACTTTGTATTTTCTTCATTTCTTTGTCTTCGTGTAATGCTGTGTAACTTGGGCTACTGCATAGTCACCAAATCAGAATGTCAGTTGCATAAGGTACTTGGTTCGTGTTGAGTCCCTTTTCAGGCGCCAGCAGCAGCAGCAGAGTGAAAAGTTGGAGACAAACGTTGAATGACTTCACGAATATCAACAACGGGATCTTGATAGCACATGCTGTCTCTCTTTCTTTCCTGTTGAACCTGATTCTCTCTCTCTCTCGTCCATGAAAAGTGAACTTCATGAAGGGGCTGGATTGGAATTAGGTAATTACAAAGATTAAGCATATACAAATGGTGGTTTGGTTTTTCTTTCGCCGGTCCCCCGTTTCCTTGGCCCCAAATTCTCGCTTGGGTGTGCCACATATGCTCCGTTAAATCAGGTCCTATCCTGTCCTGCAAGTCTTTGACAAAAAAACATTGCCAGAAATCTCTTGAGCACCGTAAACATAATCGCTTTAAATGACATGATGTTTTGGTATCTTGGTTCCCCCACACCCCTTTTCCTAGATGGAATTTTGGGAGGAGGGAAGATTATGTGCATTATCTTGCAAAAGATATTTATGTCGTTCGTTTAGAGGACAGCGGCAACGACACCGGCAACGGCGAGGAGAACGCCGCCAGTGTTGCGGGCGAGCTGGCCGACGCCAATGTTGGCGGAGCTGGAGCTGGAGCTGGCCGAGGCGGTGGCAGAGGCGGAGCTGCCAGAGGCGCTGGTGCCGGTGGCGGCGGCGGTAGCGGAGGCCGAGTTGGAAGCGACGGCAGCGGAGGCGGAGCCGGTGGCCGAGACGACGGACTGGGTCTTGCGCATGGCGGCGGAGCCGTAGAGGGAGGCCTGCTGGCAGTAGATTGTCACCTGGCCCTGGGCGGGCGCGGCGCGGGAGTCCTTGGGGCAGTTGTTGTAGCAGGTGGCGACGGCCTGGTAGGCGGCGCAAAGGCAGTCGTAGTCGGTGGCGTTGCAGTCCTTGACCTAAAGAGCACGTAGTGTTAGTTGTCGGTTGTTGTTTAGGTTGTTCAGAGGATCTGTGGGTTCTATTTACCTTTGCATTCTCGCTGGTCAGGCAGGCCTCGACGATGGGAGCGGCGTCGCAGTCATCATCGGCGGCGGCAACAACGGCAGCGAGGGCCAGAGCGAGAGGGTAGAAGAACTTCATTTTGGGTGTGTGGAAAGTTTTTTTGACGGTCAAGTCGATTATTACGGGGTTGTATTGGTTATCGAGAACGACGGTTGTATGGTGGTTCCAACGAATGTAAAGAGTCTCAAAGACTTTAGCGAGTGACTGGACGAACCGAGGAGAATTAGGTTTGTCGAAGACGAAATAAGCTGTTTTTGATGAACAGTGGGTTGGCGGAGGCTTATTACGGAAGGGGAGGAGGAGGGAAAGGAAAAGAGAAGAGAGAGCGAAGGGCTGGCAGATGGAGTTTATTAAGCAAATTAGGGAACAGCAGCAATTTCATCACAAAACGTTGTATCCGGACTTTTATGATCCTCTTGGGGGGGGGGGGGGGAGCACCCGCTGGCTGGGGGTGGGAAAGTGAACTAGCATCAGGATCGAGGAGAAGCAACTCCACGCACCCCCTCGACTAGGCCAAGGAGGGCAAAAGCAGTGGCGCGCGACGCTAGCGAATTCGAATATGTGATAGGCCCGTCAGGCATTTTCTCTTCTGCTCCAGGCAGAGGAGCCAACAAAGTGGAGGGACAGATAGGATGGAAGGGGGGAGCGGGCCCCCATCAAGCCGCATCTCCAGGGGTTTGGTGGTTCGGGGATTCTTGCTTGACTGATGGAGATTGATGAGGCTACTCTGCTAGGGCCCCCGTATTCCTTCTATGTATCCGATATGCGTGTGACAGTGAGGTAGCAGCGGCAGTGGGAAAGTAGAGAGGGTGAGGAGAAAATGAAACAATATCCGCCCTCTGCAGCGGCGCCAGCAGCAAAAAGGGGAGTGGGTATTGGAGACCGACACTGTGAATATGGTGATGGCGTCAAGCCCCGGCCTGCAAAGAGAGAGGCAGAGAGGATCAGGAGGACGAGACTTCTTACCTTGAAAGAAAAGTCCCTGTAACCCTGGTGTCCCTGCCAATCCCCGCCTAAATCTTCCCACTTTCGGCTGTAGAAACTACCCAACCCCAATCCCCGTCCAATTGCTAGCATCAAGCAAGGACGAAAGGGAAGGGGGCAACCGTTTGTAAGAATATGGTGTGGAAAATGCTGTGCAGCGCACGCGCGCCTTGTGTGTTTCTCCAGCCTCCTAGCTCGAGGCCGTGGGCGTTTCTGGAGGATGGGGATTTTCTTTGACAATTTGGAGGAATGCTTCGAAATTGTTGGTGAAGAAACGACCGGGCCATCAGGGCTGAAGAGGCTGGAACTACCCGTGATACCCCCTTTCTTTCTCTCTGGGCAGTATCCGTAGAGACCAGTCTCACTTGAGGGCTGGGTTTCTAGTTGCCGTGCCGTGCTCCCCTCTGTGGCGGACCAGGATGCAGAACATATTGCCTTCCCGTGTCTGGTTCGGCAGCTATGCTACATTCCAATATATTGTGCAGCGCTGCCGAGAAAGAAGGTGGTACGATCGATTGAAGGAAAAACGGGAGTAAGTCAAACGGAGCGAGGTTCGAACGACGGAGGCGCGAACATGGGGCCCGGACGTCGAGATGAAGTCTAATCTTGTTCGTGGACAAGGGGGGCAGTCGATTTGAAGGGCTGTTGATTGGACAATGATCCCTCTTTCTGGGGCCGTTGTTTTTCTTACCCCCTTGGCCCGTTCTGCCGTAAGGAAGCAAGGGTAGGGCGTGCGAACCTCAAAGGATGCGTTGCACCACAAACGCAAGTGCCGTTTCCTGGTGGTATCCGTATGCGTAGTTGCGTGTTGGGAAAAAGTCATGATCCGTATCCGTAGATCTCATGTGGCAATGAACACCATTCAACTATTCAAGACAGAGGAAAGGCCATGGGAATTGCGGCTGACTGCAGCCGGTCTCGAAGCATCTGATCTAAACACGAACGGCGCAGCTGTCGTCTGTTGTTTTTCCTGCAAAGGCTTTGACCTCTTTTTGCTGCATATGTAGCGGTTTACCCGTTGACCGGTATTGTGGCTCGCCAGTCAAGATTTTGATATGCCTATTTCCCGATATCATGGCACAACAAGCGTGGCTCTTTGACTAGCCGCTGCTTTGTTCTTGGCTCGAGTTTTATTGGGTCCCGTCCCTTGTTGCTGTGTCCGTGTTGTGCTTTTGTGTTGCATTTTTCGTCGCTGGTCCAAACGCCGTAATTGTCTTTTGCGCGTCAGGATACATGACTATAAACAGCTTATCAGCCTATGCCATTTCATACTTCAATATACTGATGTTCTTTTATCGGGGCTGAATGGGGCGAGTACAGCCACTTTTCTTGCGATCTCGCCCTTTCCGACGTTCGTATCCAACGTCTTTTGCCCACTGGCGCTACATTGGCGCGTTTGCCTGATGCTATTCTCGTTCTTGTGTTCGGGGTATCCGCTGATGCACCTCGAACACGGAGCGTGGCGGGACGTTGAGGAGGCGAATATCGTAAAGTTGTCTCACATAGCCCAATGGCTACCTCCTCGCTGGCGACTGCATAGTATCTGCAGTAAGAGGAGCAATACGAGCTGCAGTAGTATTTGGGGCGGCTGGCGTTGCATCGCGGAGGTTCTCTGCCGGCCAACGTACCACATCCCCCCACCGCGTCTGCCCCCGAAAGTCCGGCCGTCACCATCATGCCCGCAGCCCAACGGTCCAACCTCGATCCATAGATCGAAACGTTGATCTGAAGCCCAAGCCGATCACAGTTGTTGACTAGTCCGCGGTTGGTCAAGCAACAACTGACGGCAGCTACCCCGGACCCGTCAAACAAGCTCTTTTCTACCTCTAGCAAAAGCCACCGGCGTCTTCGTCGCCCAGTGATTGCGCATGCTTCGGGTCGTGGCATTTGAAGTATATAGATCAGCAGTGTGTTTTGCATGCTCCCCCATCACTTTTGGGTTGCAGTAGCGTCATCTTGACAAAAGAATATCTTATTCGGTCAGACAAAGTTGGCCCATTCAGAGAAACAGTACCTAACACCTTCAGACTAGGGTACTTGCAAAACGCACTCCTCATGTGCCAGATCGTTCATTATCATTAGTATGTTCCCCAAGGGTATCGATCATCACATGAAAGCGCTGCCACCAATGCCGTAATGCCAGAATGCCAGAAACATGCCTCCAAATCATCGTCGTGCCAACTGTCTCTTCATCTCTCCATTCTCTCTCCTTAGAGCTGCCAGCTGCTCCTCGAGTCCCTCCATCCTCTCCGCGGCCCCCATGCTCATCTCCTCGACCACTTTGACAAATCTGAAGAGACGGAACACAATGACGAGGGAAGCAATCTCTTCCACGATGCCGTGCGAGAGCACGTCGATAACAAAGCTTGCCACGATGACGATGCCATCGAGCAGATGAAACCACTCTGCAAAATACCTATTACGGTCTGAGTAAGTGATGGCTTCTGTACTGCGTGCTCTTGGGGGTTCATCTCACCTCCATCCAAATGCAATAACGCACAATACGAGTTCGATCAAGAACAGAGAGCTAAACACGAGGCCCGCAATGGTGAGACCTTCGCGCGTGTTCTTGACCCACGGCTCGTCTTCCCGCTTCATATCGCAGGCGACGAGCTCGACAAAGATGTTGGCCATGAGCGCGGCGACATCCAGTGATACGAGGGCCAGCACGGCATAGTGTTTCTTCCGAGATGCGAGCACATCTTGGAGGCAGGTCCGTGACTGGCTCAGCTGTCGCCTGATCGGCGCCGGCCGTCTGTTCTCGCGGAACCCGGAGAAGGACCACAGCAGAGGCCGGATCGACTCATCGTCGGACGCCATGGTTTCTGATTGAGAAAAAGGTCCCACCCATTCAGGATACGACAGGAAAGCAAGGGTCTTTGGCTGGCCGTGGTAATACGAAGTATACTGCGCAGCGAGCGCGCACAACGATCGCGATGTCGCAGCCTATCCGGGCAAGCAGATCCTTCCCCTTCGCGCGGTGAAGCGGGATGGAGCGCGGGCGAGGAAAAAGATAACAGAAACACAAAAACAAAATCCGGGGCCAAGGAGGATAGCCGGCAACCCGGCGATGCGGTGCTGACGCAGTGCACCTTCAGCGACGTCACACGTGGGCATTCGACGACAAGCGCACGAGGCGCGGGTGCCGCAATCCTGTACTTGGGGCTGCTGACTAAGACGCTACACCACCTCATTTGGTATGGGACGACAACTTCCAAGAGCATTTCAATATTGGGCTGGAGTGAGACGTACCAGATTCACCATGTGCGGGCATTCTGGTGCTTCCGCAATGATTTCGGACTCGGATCCGGGTGGATCACGGATGGATGAGCAATCCGGAGACTGGGGAGGTCCGGCGCCATGTTGCTGACGATTGAGATCGGCTTGGTAAATTGTGTCAGGACTCAAGGGGTACCATCCGACATGTACCCAATGTTCTGCGCTGCTTGAATAGTATGTAAACAATGACTGCCCCCGCTATGACAGCACAGGTGGAAATTTCCAATGTAACATGGCCAGGGTTCGACGCGATACCTGCTTAGTCTTGAGACCATTGAATCGATCAAGCAAAAGCTATTGAAGTCAGTGCCAAAAATCGATTGAGGTCTTGCCCAGGTAAAGAGTTCACCGGGTGGTAAGGGTAATAAGGTAAAGATGAGGAAAGAGGGAAAGATTCACGGGTTGGATACGTTCCTTTGTTTCGCTGGTCGATCAAGAATCCATCGACGGGCAACACTCACCAGAATGTCTCGTTTCCCAAAGTCATCCGCCGGATGTCCCAGACCACGACATCAAGAGTAGGCTGGAATGGAGCCTTCGGATGAGACCAGCGCGAGGTGTGCCTATGAGTAGAGTACCTCACGGATCAAATCTGTCTTGATTAGAACTGTCACCAAAAAGTATAAAAGGCTGCCCTTCATGTACGTGGAACTATCAATATCCGTATCTTACTCCAGAGGAAAGAATCTTGGAAGGTATCTACGTGGCCAGCGGCGGGCACAGCTAGGTAGCTCCGGAATCCCGCTAGACAAGGTGCTTTCCCGGGTTGACCGGTCATGACTTTGCTCGCCCGTTGTACCTTCCTACGTCACCTTAGGCACTTTGAAGCAGAAACTAGAAGTTTGCCTTCATCTTTGAGTTTGCAACATCTGCAAAGCATTCCTCAATCGTTTGAAGGAACCGGGCATGCGTTTGTAGCTCCGAGTCTGTTGACGAAAGCTTGAGGTCGGAGCTCTTATCTCTTATCGGAGCGTCCGGCTAAACCGTGGATTTTCCCCCTACCCATTGGCATCAGAATTCCTGGATACCTTCACTACGTCTACCTCAATCTTCAGCTCCTGTCTCGTCCAGCCCTTGCGCAAGCTGCTGCATCAAATCAGCTCAGGATCTGAGCTTGTCAATTGCGGTCGTTACAGCTGTGAGTATTTCCCGCCCCAACTAAAACTCTTTGTGTGCGCGAACAGCTTTGAGCGAGCGGACCCCTCCCGAGGCTGCGGTCGCCTTAAAAAAGGGCGCGTCTGCCTTGTCGCACCATTTCTCCCTTCTCTCTTCTAGCATCGATAGCTAATAGCCTATCCTATCCAGAGCCGTCACAAAACCAACAACGACTGCCCAATCTTATAGCCATGGCGGACGTCAAGCCCGAGGATACCCCTGTGGAGGACCACAACGTCGAGAACAACAGCGTCGGCGAGGAAGATGGCCACGATGAGGTGCGCAAAGAGCCTAGATTCATCACTGGCTTTCGCAGATAAGAGGAGGTTAAACTGACAGAAGACCGTAGGAGGAGATCTCTGCGATGAAGAGGCGGGTAGCCGAGATGGAAGAGGAGGCCGCCAAGTTGCGCGAAATGCAAGCCAGCCTCGACCAACAGAGCCGGGAACTTTCAGAGAACAAGGAGGATATCGACAGCCGCAGTATCTTTGTCGGCAATGTCGACTACTCTGCCTCACCCGAGGAGATTCAAGCTCACTTCCAGAGCTGTGGCTCTATCAACCGCGTCACCATTTTGTTGGACAAGTTCACTGGACAGCCCAAGGGGTACGTTACGGAAGCCCACCCGAGAAACGCGCCCGAAAAATGGCTCAGAGACTAACATGCGCTTTGCACTACAGATATGCCTACGTCGAGTTCACCGAGCCCAGCCTCGTTGCCCAGGCCCTGGTCCTCAACGAGAGCGTCTTCAAGGGCCGCAACCTCAAGGTCGTCCCCAAGCGCACCAATATCCCCGGCATGTCTCGCGGCCGCGGTCGTGGCGGCGGGAGAGGAGGTCGCGGCGGCTTTGGCGGCCG